CTAGATATTCATGTAGATAATCTTGTCCACCTTCAGATATTTGTTGATCATGCTGGCCTATTAGAATATAATAATAAAACAATACGACAGTATCCTGTTAGAAGATTTTGCAATGCGATGATAAATAAGCATTTATGTACGAGTCTAAGTAGACCCATTTTATTAAAATTATTTTAAATCATACCTTTTCTTTCTTATTCTTATCTTAAAAATTACAGAAGATAAATTTAATAGAGTAGATGATGGCGCCCTATGCCAGGTGTCAATCTAGTGATACATCCTAATCAGTGACTTAAACTGCTAATTCGTTATTTTTTTCTGGCTGATTCAGGCAACCCATTCATGCTCTAATAGTAAGGAAGAAAGAAAATTTGTACAAATCATCTTAACATATGAATTAAAACATGCGCCTTTATTTATGTGTCTTTCTAAGAATTTTGTTAAGTTTTGTTTTTCTATTTGTTAAATGTGGTTTAGTGTTATAAATATTCTTGTTACTTGACTTTTTTTTCTTTTATCCTGCTGGGTTTATTTGTTTTCTTGAGATTGGGTTAGTTTTAGGAAAAAATAACGAGTACATACTTTTTACCAGACAGACAGAATGAGTTGATATAAATTTGTAATAAAATGTATTTTTATTTACTAGTTTAATTTGTAAAAAAATAATTTGATAAATTCTAATGCCTTTTTAAATTTTTACTAATTTCATCAATACTTGAATCCACTGTCATACTGTTCGTTTATTAGTACACCTTAGTATTTTGAGTTTTTAGACTGCGTAACTGGTTTGCCCATGAATAAAATCAATATTTTTTTTATTTTTTTACTTATTTAATAACCGGAATTTTTTCTGGGGGAAAAACATACTTCAATTTGATTCCCGGTTCAATAATTCATTTAATTCTCTCTATTCAATTTCAGTATCATGTGTTGTTTTTATTGTTCTATAGATAATGCAATTGTTAGCAAAAAATCTGGCTTCCTTTCCTGAACTAATGCAAATTTTACGTCATTTATGTAAATTAAAAACACGTAGGCCTCAGAGGTACACCAAAGCTACTATATTGGTGTTGATTTGGAGCCATTTAATAGTTTGCTTTCTCCCTATCTGTTCTAAATGGAAAGTGACATTATCTTCTTTCCATTCCCACGGTACTCTCCCCTGGTGCTAGCTCTTGGCTGTTTGAGCAAACTAGCTGGAATATATAATAAATTATAGTCTCATTGCTCAACAGCTAAAATCGCCCAATACTCAAAATCGATGTATCGCCTTTAAAAAGATATCATAGCTAATTTTAATATTTTGAAAATGTACCATTAATATTTTATCTACATATAAAGCACCTTAAAAAAGGAATAATTAATGAAAGATCAATGCTTTTGAAATCAAATTACAAAACAAATATACTTCCAAACGTTGAAATAAATATAATGTACACAAATAAATCAACAATGGAACTTTCTTGGCCCTGATGACGCACTCACGCACTGATAATCACTAATTCTCACACTTTCCGTTGACTAATAAATAAAAAATTTATTAAGCTGTTTTCAAATGAAACCTATCAAAATTTAGCCATTTTCAAGATCGAAATCAAAACGGTTAAATTACCAGAACGAATTTATATACGAAATTTTGACCAACTATTTGTACAGTCAGTGTTACATTAAGTCTATTGTATACATTTTGCTGTGATGTATCGGACATTAAAGTGTTATGTTACTTTGGAGCCCTGAGTTGTCAAGTTCTTTGAGTTGAAAGTGTCGCATGATGCAGTTGACAGAGAGTATAGTGACATTCATGGCAATTGTTTTGAATAAAATGAATTGTAAATTTTTTTATCTACAACTATTAATGTTTAGTTTTAAGCTAGCCAATTTTCTTTAATATGTAATTTGCAAACATTAAAAAACATAAAAACATTATTAAAAGTTCTTAAATTTATTATTTACCTATGATATGAAGACAATTTTTAATGCACTTGACATCAGATTGACACATTTTTTCACAGAAAAATTCTGAAATTATGGTGGTTTATTAGGATAAAAATTTCCCGGTTTAAAATAATTTATTTGTTACCAATGTACAAAATGTTTTAAATCATTAAAATTAATTAATGTAAATAAATATTTTGCACTTTTTTGTTGTCATAGTAAAAGGAAAATGTTTATTAAAAGATTCATCAATAAATGTAGTTTAAAAGCCTAAAAATGTGCAACACGTTTGCTCATATTTTGTTAATTTTTCATCAGTAGATGAAAAAAACAACAACTCTGAATGACAGAATAAACGTAATAAGAAACCTATTGAAGTATAAACTCACCTTTTCCCCTACCTCTTGTAATTTCCATTTGAATATTTCTTATTTTGCTAAATAATTTTCCTAGTTAAAAATAAATGTTTAAATAAATAAATAAATAAATATATCGATAAAAGAGAGAGAGAGAGAAAGAAAGAGAGAGAGAAAACGAACAGTTTTTATTACAATTCTTATTTTAAGATTGGAGTTCTTCTTTGGTGGAAAAACCTGGACACACATCTCGAAAACTACTGTAACTATTTTTCTAAAAAAATGACTGTTGATGTATACCTTTAAAAAAAAAATAACTAGCTAATTGGCCAAATTGGGAAAACTCTAGTTAAACAGTCATTTATTATTGAAAACATTTTCTTTTAAAATAGAATTTTGTCTTTAAAATATTTTGTCTTCTACATCTGCGGGTTTTTCAGCATGTAGGTTGCATGTAGGTGTTATTGATTAATAAAATAACAGACGTCGACTAAGTTTGGACCTATAGGCATACCATCCAACCATTCAAATTTATTGATAGCCTTGGCCTGCATCACCAGGACTTTGAGCTGTTGTAGATCTGCCTCTAGGTCAACAAACCACCGTGCTCGTGATCTGACTTTGGGACGCCTGCCGTCTAGGTTTTTGCCGGTGACCAATCTTTGCTCCTCTGTTCTCTGACATTCTTTGGAGGTGACCCGCCCCCCCCCCCCTCTCCTCCCCCCAACGTCATCTGTTCCTTTTTATTTCCGTCACTATGGAGAGTGTCTTTCTAGAGCTGGTCTATTTCTTGGTTGGTGCGAGTCCTTCATCCGGAGACCTTATGTGTAGAACTTTGAACTTTTTCTGAAGATTTTCATTTCCCAAAGTATTTGGGCAGATTTTCTTTTTTTTTTTGGTCGTCCAGTATTCACTGGACATCCATGGGGCCCACTGGTCATCTCATGGTTTTGTACACATTGGTCTGTCTTCTATTAGCTGTAAATTGACTTTCAAGTATGTGTTGTGCGTTATAAAAAGCTCTGTTGCCTGCCTCTTGTTTTTTTTTACTTCTATCATTAGGTCATTTTTTGAATGTATTTTGCTTCCTAATTATTTAAACATTTATAAGTTTTCAAACTTGTGGTTAGTAATTTTAATTCTGTATGAATTTCTCCTGTCATTTAAACATATTTGGTTTTGTCGTCATTTATATCAAGTCCTGCTGGTCAAGATGCTTCTTCCAGTTGTGTGAAACCTCTCGCAATGTCAGAGGTGTCTTTACCTAATGTAATCTGCATAAGCAAGGTATTGTTGTGGTTGGTTGCATATTGTTCCTGTTGGTCATAGACTTTTGTTTTCTCTTATGAAGTAGTAATTGTTCCCCTTGTGTTTATTTGTATATTCCCTATTTTTTTTCTAGAGTATAATGGAAATGCATGAAAGTGAGTCTCCTTGTCTTAGTCCTCGTTTAATCTTATATTTCAGTGAATGTTCTCCTATGATCTTGACTTTAATTTTGAGTTATTTAATGTCATATGCATAAGTCTTGTCAGTTTGTTAGGTGTTTCAAAATACTGAAGTGTTTGAAATAGATATTTCTTTTTGATACTGTGGTAAGCCATTTTATAGTCTACATAGAGTTGGTATACTGGTAAACTGTTTTAATATCATTTTTCTTGTGGACCTATTAGGTCTGAAACCACATTGGCAGTCACCTAGGATTTCTTGTGCATACTTTACAAGTCTTTTAGTAATAAGCTTAGTTAGTATCTTGTACGTTACACTCACGAGAGATTCCTATGTAATTTCTATGTGATTACAACACTTTTTTATGTATTGGGGTTATAAGTGTTGTTTTCCATTCTGTTGGAATTTCTTCTTCTTCCCAGACTCTTAATATCAATCCATGTATTTGAGAATGCAAGTCTTTTCCTTCATATTTGATTAGTTCTGCTGTAAATAGGTCCTCTCCAGATGCTTCATGGTTTTAATTATTTCTGATGTTTCACTCAGGGTGTGCTTTGGGGGGGGGGGGTGTTACTAAGGGATCTGGTCCTCCTTTGGGGGGGGGGGGTGTTACTATAGGATCTGGTCCTCCTTGAGGCAGTTAATATTCTCCATCATCTCCATCTTCCATTGAATTTAGTAGCTCTTCAAAGTATTCAGCCCATCTCTCAATACCCTGCTGCTTTATGTCAGGAGCTCACCATTTCTATTCTCACACAACTCTTCTTCAGCTTAAATCCGAATACCTCTTTCTGCTGTTTCTTTAATTATTATTTTTCCCATTTGTCATATATCTTATAACTTTCTTTTTTTACTTTTCCAATGTTTTTAGTTGTGTTTATAAGTTTCTGTCAAAGGTGTGTCTTTTGTAATTCTTGACAATCATATTGACGTGTTGTTTTTTTCCTTTGTTGATAGTATATCAACTTATTCTTTGTCTAAATTTGGCTTTTATAAGTATGATGTTCTTATTAAAATTAAAATAAAAAACTCTTGAGTAAAATTGATACATTTATTTGGGAGGGGCGGAATTGGGTAGGGGTAAAAATGCTCATTTTTATAAAAAAATGCTCATTTTTATAAAAAAAAAGATTTATCATTAATTAAATATTAACAGTTCATAAAATAAAAATCCACTAAAACTTTGTAAGTTATGTATGTAACCTTTAGATTTCCAATTCTGGAAAAAATATTACAAATTGAACGGTATGATAAAATGCACATTTCAAATTTTAGGTGCCATTATCACTATTGTTATTACATTGTACCATTTTATTTTGAAAATTATTTATACACGCCTTGTTTTTTTCAAATGCATCATTTATAAAGTAATTACTATTTATAATCATTTTAGGTTATAATAGAAAAAAATTATCCCTAAATAATGTATATTTTCTAACTTTTATCTTCCCTTTCTTATAAACTAAAGCTATAATTTTTTGTGTACTCTGTTGTCCAGATACTAATAATAATTTTCAAAAAATATATTTTTAATGGTAAGAATACATTTGTATGTACATAATTAAAAACAGGGTTATTATTAATGCATCATACAATAAACTCGAGTTGTAATTTGTAATGAGGTTTTCCGGATACCATAAATGAGAGAGTTGCCAGCAGGCATGAGATGATCAATTGATAATATCCATTCTGCGTAGCCAAAGCTATACCTGCAAACAGTCTACTGAACGCTTTTAAAAGTTCAATGAATATTAACTATGCAATAATATTAACCACAACATTAATCTATCTCCTCGCCTTCCAGACGTGAAAAAGAAAAATAATACGATCACAACTTTCCTGCACATATTTTTTTTTTAAATGTAGAGATGAAAAAGAGAGAAGTATATAGTGTGGTTATTGATCATCTTTTTTTATCTTGAAAAAATTAACACTTGCATTTTTATCTCAGTAGGTGGTAACTTTAGGCCTGCCTCTGAGTTTGTATAAAAAAAAACAGAATTTTCATTATTATCATGCTTTTTACAAAAGTTTTATTCGATACAAAAAGTCATTGACTTACTTTGATCATCTTTTAGTGTAACAATTTCTTGAGTCGAGCTGTTCCCATCTTCAACGTCGTGTGCTCAATGAACAGAAAAAGTACTTATTTCAATGTTTTTATCTAATTTAACGCTTTTGCATTTTTTTTTTTTACAAATCGCTTTTCTCTTTTAGATAAAAAAATGTTCTAATTTAGTAGTAACGCAAGAATGACTTCACTCATCAATTGGATATAAAACAAAATATCTACATTTTTGTAGTAAAACAGTATTTATAAATACAGCCACATCCAGATAATTATATTACACCAGAACACGATCATTTCGGTTCTAGTAATAACATGCTGATCCACTTCTATCAAATCTGTCACAAGACGGCGCGTGTTATCATCGCCCATGATTTTTGTCGTCAACAAAACTTTTTGGATTTCTTAACCTTAAAAAAAAATTCTTTCAACGACACATGAACCAGGAATCCTAGACTATCTTGTTTTAAGAGAGAGAGAGTGAGAGATGATAAGAAAGGAAAATAAACACTTAAACTTAAACGTTCAACTAGTGTTTGTTTTAAACAGTAAATTATAGTTTTATAACTAAGTAGTCGATCGGCGGCGTAACAAACGCCGTTATTTTGCAGACCATTGCAACCTATGCGACCGCATTGGGCCCCGCACTTTCACAGGACCCGCGCTAATTCGATGTGTATAAATTATTAAATTAAATCATATTACAACAAAACAGATTTCCAGCGCCCTGCTGTCAATTTACCAGGAGCTCCTGGAAATCTCCCGAAATTACAAAATATACGAAAAAGTGCTTAAAATATACGATAATATATAGACAAAAAATTGTTATTTTGGAGTGCCATTCAATATGGAAAATGCCAATCCCTCGCGCGGAATTATGCATCGGTCGTAATTTTGTAATCTGGTGAAAGAAGCTTTTCGCGCATCAAGCTAATGAAGAATTACTTGAGGTCAACAATTCTCAAAGATAGATTGAAACATTTGGTAATTCTTGTTATTGAGCGTGATCTATGTAGGAAACAGAATCATTATACTATAGTGCATGACTTTGCTCGTAAAGTAATTCTGTACGTATTAAAGAATGAATAAAATGCATAGACGAATTTATTTTCAGATTCAAACTCTTAAATTTCACTTATTGTCCGCTCCCCTACACAAACTTAGCCACACGAAATCCGTTTCGAATAGGGCCTCACAATGCTTTAATTCTGCCATGCTATTTAGTGTTTATAAAATGTTTGTTTGTAAAATGTTTTACATGTTTCGGATGTTCCTTCAGAGTTGAAGATAGTTTACTTCCTAGTCCAAACCTCCCGCAGGACGAATGGGGATGGGAGCGGGCAGTGTTTGACAGTCCAGCGGGCAGCCATCCGTAGCGACGTGTCAATACCCACGTGTTCTCTCCTTCCCTCTTGTTATTTCGTGGGGTGACTATCCGCAGAGATAAGAGAGTGATCTTTACTATACTTCTTGCTTCTCGTCCAAACTCTTAAGGGAAGAAGAGAATTATATATATTGATTATAACAAAACAAATTTCCCACGCCCACCTGTCGATTTACCAGGAGCTCCTGGAAATCTCCCGAAATTACAAAATTTACGAAAAAGTCCTTAAAATATACGGAAATATATAGACACAAATTGTTATTTTGGGGTGTCATTCAATATGAAGAGAAACAAGAAAACTATATATCTATAGATAATGCATTTGATGTACATGACGTATTTACCTTGAGACTTTTGTATTTCGAGAATGTTTTCAAGTTTTTTGCTCAACTCTTTTTGTTTTTCAAATAATTCTTCAAATTTGGTGCTTACATCAAGCTGAAAAAAAAGGTTATCTTAAAATTATTATAATGCTGGCTACCAGATAATTAAGGCTAGTGAAAGACACTAAAGGACGATGCGATAATATACTACAATGTTCTTTTTACATTTCCTTTATTGACCTTGCAAATTCATCGGATCAAATACTCGGATAGAACTTTAACACGGATCTCAAAATCATCTCTTTTCTGTACCTATACCTACCTATTTATAAAATGTTCTATCAATCTATCTTACTATCAAATAATTAATTAATCTCTATCTCTCTCTCTCTCTTTCAATCCATCTATGTATGTATGTATGTATGTATGTATGTATGTATGTATGTATGTATGTATGTATGTATGTATGTATGTATGTATGTATGTATGTATGTATGTCTCTCTCTCTTTCAATCCATCTATGTATGTATGTATGTATGTATGTATGTATGTATGTATGTATGTATGTATGTATGTATGTATGTATGTATGTATGTATGTATATGTATCTATCTATCTATCTATCTATCTATCTATTTATCTATCTATCTATATACCTTTTATCTAAAGTATCTGTCTATCTATCTATCTATCTATCTATCTATTTATACATCTATCTATCTATCTATCTATCTATCTATATATCTATCTATCTATCAATCTATCTATCTATCTATCTATCTATCTATTTACCTTTTATCTAAAATACCTATCTATCTATCAATCTATCTGTCTATCTATCTATCTATCCATCTATCTGTCTATCTATCCATCTATCTGTCTATCTATCTATCTAACAATGTATCTTTCTATTAACTAAAGTATCTATCTATCTATCTATCTATCTATCTATTTACCATTTATCTAAAATACCTATCTATCTATCCATCTATCTGTCTATCTATCTATCTATCCATCTATCTGTCTATCTATCTATCTAACATTGTATCTTTCTATTAACTAAAGTACCTATCTATCTATCCATCTATCTGTCTATCTATCTATCTATCTATCTATCTATATATATAAAATATATATATATCTATGTATGTATATACATCTATCTATGTATCTATCTATCTATCTATCTATCTATCTATCTATATAAATCTATCTATCCTTTAATCTTTCTATTTACCTATCTATCTATATATCTATATATATCTATCTATCTATCTATCTATCTATATCTATATATATAATATATATATATATCTATGTATAATGTATGTATATAAATCTATCTATGTATCTATGTATAATGTATGTATATAAATCTATCTATGTATCTATGTATCTATGTATCTTTCTATCTATCTATATATCTTTCTATCTATATATCTATATAAATCTATGTATCTATCTATGTATATATTTACCTATCTATCTATATATCTATATAAATCTTTCTATCTATCTATCTATATATATAATATATATATATATATATATGTATGTATGTATATAAATCTATCTATGTATCTATGTATCTATCTTTCTATCTATCTATCTACATATCTATGTAAATCTATCTATCTATCTATTTACCTATCTATCTATATATTTATATAAATCTATTTATCTATCTATCTATCTGTCTATCTATATGCATTTTCTTTTTGCTACCAATGGTCGATTACTACAGATTAATTCAAAATAGATGTTTCTAGATCAAACAATAAATACAAACTTCTTTGTGTTCCTTGTCTATTTCTTGTTTTGCCTTCAACTCTAGACAGAAAGTCTCCCATTGAGTTTGTTGTTGTGATATAAAACTACTTGCAGCTTGAAGTTCTGTCATAAACTCTACTCGAATTTCTTGAACTCGTTCATTGAATGTTGTCTGTGTTTCACTCATATTTGAATTATTTTCTTTCTCGCTATCTTTTAACAGCTTATCTATTGTATCTTCCTGTCTTTTTGTGATTGTTTGCTGATCCTTTAGTTTTTGTTGGAGTTTTTTTAATTTTTTACTTTGTAAAGAGAAATTAGAATCAATCTCTTTTACTTTTTCTGTCAATTGCAGATAAACAGTATCTGAAACAAAATATCATTTTAAAAAAACGAAATTATTTTTTAAAAATGATATTTACAATTTCATATTATATTCACAAAACATGCTCTACAAAGAATATATAAAAACTATCTGTGTAACTTCGGTCAAAATAAATACACTTTAAAAAAAATCTCTATTTAATTTGTTAAATTTTTACCTTTTGAAGCTAACGTTGAAATTTCTGTTACTGCTTTAAAACTGGCATCTTCTTTATCCCCTTTTGCTACTTTTAAAGCTGGTACATCCAACTCTTTAGTTTGGTCACCTAAGAAAATAACATTTCATTTCATTAACAATCATCAAGAAATCTTCTTCATTTGCTTTTCTTTCGCTCTAGATCTCTCTTTTTTCTATATCACTGTCTTACTCTTTCTCTCTTTCTTATTCTCTCTCTTTCTTTTTCTCTCTTTCTCTCTTTCTTATTCTCTCTCTTTCTTTTTTTCTCTCCCTCTCTAATTATTTTTACTCTTTTAAAATGTAGAATGTTATTGATTTACATGACAATCAGACTAAAAACATAAAAAGACATTTCAAAGTTCAATATATATTATCTAATGTAATTAGTTGAAAATCAAGAAGTAAATTTGAAAAAAAGTATTGTTAAAAAAAGAATACCTCCTTTATGAAGATTTTCTAAAATGTCTCAGTCTATGTAGTTCTTGTAAATTCCTTATTAATGCAAATATTCCCACTAGTGAGTTTTACTCAAAGAAATTCTTTTTGTAATAGTCCAGCTAATGGTTTCTACATAAAAAATGTTTGCACAATATACATGAACGTCTTTTCTATCCCACTTTACTAAATACCAAGAAACATTTGAGATGATTGCGGTAATCTCCGCTGATGTCGCTTAATAATAAGAAAATAAATTCCTCA